GCGGTTTGATCAGCATGCCCGGCGTCTTGACACCGAATGCGCCTATCGACGCGGCTTTTGTTCCAAGCATCTTGTTCACTGCGAAGACTGGTAAGCCTCTGACCATCTCTCCTGGATCAAATGCCAAGTATGTTGACAACGAAAACACAGTAAAAGGATGTTGCGCTTTCCCGCGTGACGCAGTTGTCGAACTAGCGCAGTTTGTTGAAGCACACGGCATCAAGCCAGTGGTGGCGCACGAATATGCTTTCGACCAGACTGTTGAGGCATTTGAGATGATGGCGAAGCAGAGTGCTGTGGGCAAGATCGCTGTCAAGATTGGTCGAGAGATGTGAGGAGTCTGACGATTCTAATGTTGTCACTACCGTCGTTACAATCCTTGCGAAATTCATCAACAGTATGCCTGTAATTCAGCTTGTTCGCCGCGATCCCTTTTCATGGTACTCCTTTTATTGCGCAAGCTGTGAGTGGCTTGTTTCGCTGTGTGTCATCGCACTACCCGTCAACGCCAACCAAAGTTCAGGATGCTAGGGCGCCTTCCTACGAGGCACCTTGTGAGTATATAATAGCCACATCTGTGTTTTCAAGCCGTAGCTTTACACAGTGCTGTCACTTTAATCTTATATACCCCACCCTTGTCAAATGGATTCACTCAAGCACATCAGCCGAATCTTCCTGGATCTTAGCGGGGAGCGAAGAAAGGCGAGCATGAATTCATCCTTTAATACGGGTGATTTGGAAGACTACGCAAAGTTCAGAAGGCTATTCAACCAAACACGCTGGTTAGGAGAAGGGGGGTAAGTCTTGACTGTACGAAGTGCATGTGAGACATATACTGACTTCGTACCTCTACCTCTTCAGGGATGGCACAGTCTACGCATACCAACACAAATATTCGAAAGCGTTCATTGCAGTAAAAACTCCTATTGCGTACAACACCCCTTACCATGCGTCTCAAGCAGCTAAACGCATCAAAGACGAAATCGCAAATCTTACCATCCTCGGTCAGCATGAGCACATCGCCGGAATGTTAGCATGGTCGCATAACCATCATCCCGCGGCCCCAGCAATCTTCCTTCCATTCTGCGAGCTAGGAGATCTTCTTGCATACATGGCCAACTATAAAGAGCAGCAACTCCGGCATTCAAAACTTATTATACGAACACCCGAAGCCACAATCTGGAAGTGTCTTCGCGACATGGCCCTTGCTCTCGATTACTTGCACAACATGAACGACGAGTTTGGCTACATACACAACGACGTCAAACCAGACAACATCTTGGTCGAATTTCCCAAAGGCTGGAATCCAAAAGATGGGATCCCTGATGAGCCGGTATTCAGATTGACCGACTTCGCTCGCATGACACGATACCCTCTACCCGAAGGTGAGAAGCCCAAAAAAGATTTCCTTGGCACACCCGAATGGGCACCACCATTAGCCGAACAAGAGAAGCAGCGGCCGTCCGTTGATATCTGGGCTCTGGGTGCGACCTTACAAACGCTCGCTTTGAGAATATATCCTGTCCAATCGCGGGAGGCTTTCGTCGAGAGTCGGATTAAGGCAAACAAACCCGCGCCTATCCTGATTGACGACGGCGCTTGGAAACAACTAAAATGGCGTATTCTCATACCCACCGTTTACCGCCCCCTCGACGCTACACAGGAGGAACTGATAAATCACCACGACGTCCGCATGTCCATCTGCGCCAACGGCGCGGACGCGTACAGCGCTTGGAAGCATTGGCCATATACTAGAACACTCAACACCTGGTATAAAAGTATGTGGGAACGAGACGTGGAGAAAAGAACTACGGCAAAGCAGCTTGTCGAGTGGTGCGTTCCGTTGATTGCGAGGTATATTCGTATCGCGCGGAATACGGAAAAGGCGGAAGAGTGCTTTGAGAGGGCGGCGAAGTTGAGGGACGAGGTTGAGGGGAAACAGCAGAATAGAGAGCTAAGAGCCAGGGCTATTGAGCTTTTGGATGCACCTAGCTATGAAGGTAATGGGTATGGTGATCTTTGAGGCAGAATAGATAAAACAGAAGATCCTTCAAGTCGTGGTTTGCTAACAGTATGCGGAAACGCTTTCTCCTCTTCCTCACATTTCTCGCTGCCATCAGCGGCTTACAATTCCTGCTTGGTGAAAGTCGAGTTCTTGACCTTTGAAATCTTAAATCCACCAGGCGCCTGAGTCTGGAACATACCCTTGGGGTCGTACTTCTTAGCCGCAGCGCGGATCTTATCGACGTTTGCGGAGCCGTAGCTACCAAGTGGGTCCTGGTAAGCGTCGGCGTAGTTCAGGTACTGCCAGTCTACCAGAGCGTCTTTGCTGGCAGCAAATCTTTGCATCTCTTCGGTGACGGCCCTGAGCGCCTCTCTCGCGATGACTTCGGTCTCTTCTCCTTTGACAGCAATGTCGAAAAGAAGCATGACTGCGTTGTCCTTTACGAGATCAAGACCCATGACGTTACCACCGCGTTCCTTGCTGTGCTCGGCAAAGGTGGTCGGGATGGCTTGGAACATGCACTGGGTGATGAAGTCACCGTCGGTACTGATCGCCTTCCATGCTTCGACGAACTTGGTGTGGGCGTCGACAATGTACTTGAATACGGTGGCATCGTTCTTGAAAGTCATGGTGAACCAGATGTCACTAGATCTGTCAGTTTGATCATTTTTTTGCGTTCAGGATGACATACCGGTATCCTGTAGGTTGCTCAAGCTCGTCAGTAAGGTTCTTGTGGCTTGCCTTCCTTGTAGTATCGGATAGAGCAGGGATAGCCATGAACTTGTCGAAACCTGCGGGAGCTACGTTTCCGGCAACATCCTCGTATGCGGCAATGATGACGATATCCTTCATGGCAGGTAGGTAGCTCCAGAAGACGATGCTGGAGCCGTCAGGGTAATTCTCGACATTGTCGACCCACGCTGTGTAAGCTTCGACGTGTTGTTGTGTGTGGTTCTTGTCGTGAACCCTGACACCACCCCAAAGGTCTCCGGCAGCGAATGTTTGCACGTCATAGCGGGTGACGATACCGAAGTTGAAAGAGCCACCCTTGAGGGCTGTGAAGAGGTCGCTGTTGGACGTAGCGTTCGCGTTGACAACCTCGCTGCTTGGTATTAGCGACAACCCATGTATTGTGCGATGATGCAACGGAGTACTGACCCATCCGCAAGGACAACCTCGAAGTTCTGTACCTGATCACAAGCAAAACCCCTTCGCGCAGTGTAGAAAGAGTTTCCTCCTCCGGTCAAGAAACCGGCAACACCAACACTGCTTGCTCGTCCACCCGCGACAGTAACCCCATAAGGTTCAAGTGCGCCGTAAACACCACCCCATCGGGTGCCAGGCTGGAATCGTGCGAGGTTTGCTGCCTCATCATAGATAGTTGTGTTCATAAGACCGAGGTCGAGTGTCACGCCATCATTAATGTTGTTGGACCCGGCCCAGGTCGAATGACCACCACTCCGCACCGCAAACTTGCAGTTGCTTTGCGCACCCAGGGTCTTGACAGCAGTCGAAACCTCTTCGGTAGATACTGGTTGGACAATGCAGTTAGGCTGCAACTGAGCACTCACCGACCAGTAAGATGCTGTTCGGTTTTTGTACTGTTCATCATTCTCGTAAAAGATGTTTTTCAGTCCGGCAACCTCCAGCGATGAACACTAAATCCGGTCAGCAATGGTCAAAGTTTGACTAGGGAGTACCCGTCACGCACGCAACTGTCATTCTTACTGCCAAGAACCTCGTTCTTGTGGGCACCGAACTGGGCAGCTTCGGCGTGCAATCCCAGAGATGCAACAATAGCCGGTGCAAGGAGCTTCATGCTGTCTCAACTTTAAAACTTAGCACACTCGAAAAAGATGTTGTTGGACCGATATGCCGGGTCGGTTGGGGTTTTATTGCCGCCATCGCTGCAGGCAGAGTTACCATGCCAGCAGCGGCTAACAGCACCCGAAAGAGATATCGCTCCAACTTGGCATTTAAACCTGAAATGTCCTCCTCCTGCCTAGGTAGGCGGCTCTTATGCGGATCTTAACATGTATAGCAGAAGGGTACATATCCAGCTGCCGTTCTAACACGTGGTGTGCGCATTAGCCTTAAGGAGGGGTGTGCTCCTCTGGTCCCTGAGAAAAGAGGCGAGGGCTCCAGATATTTTCATCGATATGATAGGCAAATATTATCCTTGAACACGGGACGGTAAAATGGAACCTATCACACTCTGCACCAATACCGCGGGCGGTCCGAACACAAGACCCACAAGCTACGGGAATAGCTAGTATCGGCCTTATCCGTCGGGGCTTCGACGTTTTCGATCTGTAGGATCAGATCTCAACCTTTTCGCACGCGTCAGCATCGACTCTTCGCTCGCATTGCGGCCAATTATCATGCTTCAGAAATGCGGATCTGAGAGGTGTTCACCATGACTCTCATAGCATATCGGTTATCGTATGATCCGATCTGTTCAGTGGAGACTGGGGCATGAACCAGATGAGCACTGAATCGTCTTGTGGACTGGAGTATGGAGGCCTGATATACAGTTTGAAGTGGTCTGAAATCAGTAAACCAGCAGCCAAATGTGCATTGGCCATGGTCGTCCCGATCACATGAAGGTGTCATATCTATCTGAGCAAGACCCCGGACCCCTTCTCGGTAGTTATTGTGCCTCCATGTCCATATCGAGGTCAACGGTCTGGCGAAGGGGTCAAGTTTACCGAGACGGGCCTTCACGTCCAGGCGAGTACTTCGATGCGATCGACATGAATGTCGTTCACATCCACTCCCCATGTGTTCCGCCCCTGGACTGGAAATTTAGCGCAAACTTGGCCGTCTAGCCTCCACAACCTTATGTGTGAAGCACCTCCGCCTGCTAGTTGGAGAAGAAGGTTTCAAGAGTCCTAGGCGTACATGCTCTCCCTCGTTGGGGTATTCTTTAGTTGCCGCTCCCGAGACCGTTGTTCATTAATCAACTATCCGTTCTTTGTCCAACGGTTGCCACGTCATGGCGACAGTTAACGGCGTCACAACCATCATCCCTCCACCCGATGGCTACGAGGTCGACTTCGCGAACCCACAGCGGAGGCTGGTGACGGAGACGTATGTGGTCTTCATCGTCGAGAACATCTTGGCACTTGCGTTTCTTGGGCAGCGGCTCTACACCAAGATTCGGCTTATGAAGCAGTTCCAGATTGACGATGGTATGATATCCAATAACAGTGGCAGAGGAACTCTTCTGACAGAGGTCCAGCATTACTCCTCCTTGGTTGGGCTTGTTCAGTGGGCACTCAAGGTCTCTTGATAACTGGATTCTCGACCGGTAGTATCGGTGTACACGCCTGGGAAATCTCGATCGAGAAATACGGCTTTTATTCGCGAGTAAGCTGACAACTCTTTCCCTCACCTACTTTTGTTGCGTATGTGCTGATTCGACGACTTGACAGCTCATTCTAGCAGCACCAGTCGTGTATGCTCCTTGCACAGCCCTGACGAAGGTCGCACTCTGCATCTTTTACAGTCGTCTCTCCCCGTCCGTCGCCTTCCAATGGGCTGTTTGGATCACCCTTTTCGTCTGCGCTGGTTCGTATACAGCGATATTCTTCAGTTTGATATTCGCTTGCAAGCCAATTGCAGCCAGCTGGGATCCTCTACTGCTCGCTACGGCAACATGCGTCAACAGAGGGGCAATCTATATTGCTACGGCTGTGATCGGTATCGTGACGGATGTGATGCTGATGGCCATCCCCATTCCGACCGTCTGGGGATTGCAAATGGCGATGAAACAGAAGATTGGACTGACAATCATGTTCTGTGTTGGATCAATGTGAGTGTCCACCGAGAAGGAAAGTCGCGCTACGAACCAATGCTGACTCCATATAGCACAATGGTCACTTCAATAATTCGCCTTATTGTGTTGATCCCAGCTTTGACAGACATGGACCAAACCTGGATCATAGCCGTGGGGTGCTTGTGGATGTAAGGCCTCCGTTGATCTGATGTGGTTTCAGGAAACTAACCACAATACAGCGTCGTCGAATCGAACTTGTTCGTCATATGCTGCTGCTTGCCGACCCTGCGACGTTTCTTAAAACACGCGGCCCCGCGATTAGTCGGCGAGAGTCGCGGATCTGAAAACAAAGATTCCTCAGGTCGCAATCGCGGGTTGCGCACCTGGGGAAGTGATGGAAACGCCAAGCGCAAGTACGATACGTTGATGCGCACTGTAGACGGCGCGCAAGGAGACGGCGACGATGAGATTCCTCTTGCTAGCGTGGCTCCTAAAGCCTCGGGTGGGCGAGAGGCCAAGGCGCCGACCGGGCACGTCTCTTATAAAGGAGACAACGATAGCGAGGAAGCTATCCTGTACGAGCGGACCGTCCAGGTCACATATGAAGGGGGTAACGGAGGCGACCCTGCGAATCCGTACACACGTCAGGTCTGGCCAGACGGGCACCTGGCACCCCGGGCCCTGTGAGCTTCGCCCCACGCTTGACACTAGAAGTGCGTTTCTCGATATGACTGCTTTCTTACGACATTGCGACGCTCTTATGGATATCCGATGTACTTAATCAATGGCTGGGTTTACGATGGATGTCGGATGCAAGGCTGGTACCAACTAGGCGTTGGAGGGTCGCCTGATTTTCAGGACAACAGATTACATAATCACTATGTCATAGCAAGTCGCGGTTATTGTGGAGCGCCAGCACGCGCCAGCCTCCGCACCATCACAACTTCTATCAGACATGTCTTCTTCCACAACCAAAGCCATCGTTCACAAACCCCCCATCCGAACGTTAGTCGATAGGCCATCTGTGATTCTCTATGGAGCTATTCAGTCCGATCCCAACAAGGACTGGCAGGCACACCTCACAGCCTTGCTCTCCGATCTACCCATTGCTATCCTGAACCCACGCCGAGATGACTGGGACAGCAGCTGGATCGAAGACATATCTTTCCCGCCTTTCAAAGAGCAGGTTGAATGGGAAATGGACTACGCGCGCACAGCCGATGTTATCGTTTTCTATTTCGCAGGCGAGGCTAAGGCATTACAGCCCATCACGCTGCTGGAACTAGGACTGTATGCCGGAACAGGCAAGGCGATTGTTTGCTGTCCAGAGGGTTTCTGGAAGAGAGGCAACGTACAGTTGGTATGTGAAAAGTACAACATTGACTTGGTGGAGTCGGTTGAAGAGTTGGGTGACAAGGTACGGACAAGACTGTCGGCCAAGCTTCCTGAGGGGTCAACCACTGCGCATCCAAAGAACGCCGTGTGACATTGCCTCGTTTTCCTTTTGCGCTTTCAACCACTCGCAATCAATGCCCTGAGAAATGCGCCTCAAAAGATTATTGTGTTCAGGTCATTCGATTTCTAATTGTTCAGCTGCCAAGAAAAGCCACATATTGCCCCTCGCATTTGGTCTTCTGCATCATCCGCTTAGCCTTGTGTAGCCCGACAGCATGGCTAGCCATTCAGAGTTGTTCATTCACGCGAAGATGTAAGATTGTACGAACGAATCGTAGCCTAGCATTGCAAGCCGTCGCATCGTGGGGGTACAGGCCCAACGCAGTGTTCAGCGACCGGTCTCGAGCTGAACAGCGGCTTTGCGGATCTAGCTGCGAATTGACTCACACCAAGAAAAACCATTTCGGGACGAAAGCTGAGTTACGCGATATGTCACGTGCGTCTAAGGTCTTTACGCGCTGGCTGTTGAGCTCTGCATTCGTCTTTCCACGTGTTTCTTCCTTCCTTCAGATGTATGCGCTTTGCATCTAGGATTTACGAATGCTACCGAGCTACATAGCGACAATGTCTGGAGATCTCCGACTTCTCAGTCTCGATGGAGGAGGCGTACGTGGTCTGGCATCACTGTATATGCTAAGGAAGATACTATCCTTGGTTGGCAGCCCAAAGCCATGTGTCTATTTTGACATGATCTGCGGAACAAGCACAGGAGGTTTGATTGCTATCATGCTCGGTCGATTGGAGATGTCTGTCGATCAGTGCATTGAGGCGTACACCGGACTGATGGACGTTGTCTTCGATCCGAAAGACAGAAAACTGCCTTTCAAAATTCGAAATGGTAAAGTGCAGCCTCGGTACAAAACGAAGCACATGGAGAAAGCGATCAAGCAGGTGATGTCCAACGCTGGGTGGACATCGGATGATAGGTTCAGAGGGTCGAAAACTTCAGCTTGTAAAACGTAATGTCCCAAAGTTCTTCGTCTCGGGACCATACGCTGACTTAGCAAGTGTTGTGATTGCCATGACAGAAGAAAGCCGTGTCCCGATACGCTTCACTGATTATGAGAAAGCAGGCGAGCATTACAACTTCTACAACGAAGTCAAAATCTGGGAGGTAGCTCGTGCTACATCCGCTGCAACATCATTCTTTGCGCCAATGGAGATAACACATTCCGGTGAACCTAGACGATTCCTTGACGCAGGTATCGGCTCCAACAATCCCATCGACGAACTGTACCTCGAAGCGATGTCGCTGTTCGATAAATCCGAAGAAGAGTTCGACAAGCAGATCAGAGTGCTAGTATCGATTGGTACCGGCAAACCAGCATTACACGGATTCGGCGAGAAAGTCACCGAGGTTGCAAAGAGCATTGCTTCGATCGCAACAGAGACTCAGAACACAGCGAACAAATTCCATCTCACGCATAAGAAATTGGCAAGCAGGGGCGGATACTTTCGGTTCAATCCTCCCGACCTCTCTGAAGTGGCGATCGACGAAGCGAGCAAAAAGGGCATTATCGCATCGCGGACTGATACGTACGGCAACGACGCGCAGACTTTGGAGATGGTGGAGCGCTGGGTGAACGTGGCAGGAACCGAGAAAAGTGCGTTGACTCTCGCTAGTGCTGAAGAGATGGACTTTACTTAGATGGTCTCTCATGTTGGCTATTTCTCGCAGCATGTAGATCAATGCTGACTACTATCCTGAAATAGAACCAATAATCTCACCGACTCTATCTGCAAATCACATCAAGCCCGCTGTGACGAAACTTTTCTATTCACTGCACAAAGGACCCAAGTACATCAAAGAGTATGCGCCATCATACTGGCAACATCTAACGCTGGACTCATACTACGTGTACGAAACGATATACGACAGATGCAACCCTCAAGACAGAAAAGTCACTTGTACGTATCACAAGTCCAAAGTCAAGCCCTTAGAAACACTAACAACTTTCCAGTCAGCGCTTTCTTTGAGCAGTTCGGCCCCGATGCAAAGCCATCATCTAACCACGTCTTCGAAACCTGGGCGCGCCTTCTCCGAGACAAGCGCGATGTGCGCAACAGTATACATCGGAAGCCGTTCGTGATGGCGATTTTGTACATGCTCCACGTCGAATCTAGTCTTGATCTCACCAAGATGACAAACATAGACCCTAATCGACGCGAGATGCTGAAACGGTTCTCGAAGTGGGTGCCATGCAAGTGTGATGCTAGGTGTGGCCGCGAATGGAACTTCGTGAATGAGGTCGGGCTATCGCGCGGCGGAAATGGTGGTGATGAATGTGATCTCCTGCAGTTGTTCGACGATAGCAAGTGGAAGTTAGTGTTCAAGAGCGATAAAGTGCGGAAACTAGATGCGACCAGGAAGGCATGGGAAGCTTCGATGTGAGATGAGGGCAGATGTCGCTTGCTGCTTGTGTTCGTTGGAACTAGTTGACAGTTTTCTCAAAGTAGAATTTAGATACTAGGTTAATATACAAAGCAACTCGCGACAAGTCCATTGATGATGTCTCGCTAACTACGTCCTTCATGCTCAGTCTGAGGAGCATCGAAGTCGCCAATAGAGTATTCGTGTAGCCACTACAAGCTAATGGTCATAGAATCTGTTGCCAAAGTTGCTGCCCGATTCATGCACTGTCGACATCGGCCGTGGCATCTCACTCGCAGTGGGCCCAGAGTAGTCACTATCACTAGGAGCCTCAGACGGCGGCACATTCGGATGTGCTCCGGGAGGCGTCAGGCCGCTCCATTCAGCCATGATCTCATCCCGAGATCCGCCATATGATGGTATAATTTCGGTACGAGGTCCTTGAGTAACAGTCGGCTCGTATGGTAACTGAGAGGGCTGGTTATGTTGAACAACGTCGGTGTTTCTCTGGTGGCGCGGCCGGTACCAGCAGAAATATCCAAGTAGCAGAGCGATGACAAGTACAGCAATACCAGCCACCGTTATGAGAGCAATTGCAGTGGTACTGATCGGGTTACTGCTGCTGCCACCACTACCTCCACTACCACCGGCCGCTGGGGTTTTGCTGCCGGCGGTGGGCTGGAGTCCACTAGTGATCGATCGCAGTAAATCATCAATACCCGTGGTGCCAGATCCCGCGGTCAGAACTTCTCCTTCAACTGTTGATGTCCCAAGCACGAGAATGTCGTCTGAAGCTGTTCCGCATGCCCACGAGTAGAATGTATTCGTGTCGTCAAGGGCAGAACTGCGAGCGTAGCGGAAGCACTGTTGTGCTTG